TTTAATTCTCAGTGCTCCTTTTTGCTTACCCCTGGGATGGTGTGAAGCAGCGCCCCCAGACCTGCATCTGTGTGCCCCACCAAGCCCACTCCAAAGAACCCATCTGCTCATGGTTTCCCTCAAACATTGAGTGTAGTTCCACAATGGCCCCCATTGTTTTCATTGCCTGGAAGCCACACCACTCCTCTCCCTTACCCCCTTCACTGCCGCACCCGCTCTGCGCTGGTCTTCATCCTTGGAAAGCTTTGCTCCCTCCAGAAAGCCTTTACCAACCACATCGGCTCCTGTTGATTCCTTTTTTTTCCTGTGAAACCCACAGCACACCCAGTTGTCTTGTTTAGTCAGTAAGTAAAACTCAACATGATTCTGAGTGACTGTTAAATAAATCATATTCTGCACCATCTCATGTACAAACTTGGAGTTGTACCCTTTTACCCTTTGCAACCTCACTGTGGAGGGTTATACACTCACTGTTTCAGAGCTCAGAGGAGGTTGGTTGAGGATGACGAGGAGACAGGGTGTCATTCTGATGGATGTGTGTATTACAAAACTAAAGGAATGAGCCCCTGCCTGACCTCCACAATGATAGTTCCCTGAAACCATTCAGGGAATGAATGAATCCAGATTCAGCAGAAAAAAAGAACAGCTTTTAGATTTTGAGTCTAAAGGGAACAGAGACTGTCATTGCACCCTGCATGTCATTGTATACAGCTTTTGGGTCCTCAGATACAGCCAGGAAAATTGTGTCTATGTGTGTATGTGGGGGGTGGAGCCCCACTGAGCAGGAGTGAGGGATTCAGCAGGTGTGTTACAGATGTGTGGGCTCTGGAAAGAATGAACAATGAAGAGCAGGTCTTCATAGAAGTGTAGCCATCGGTGGGGCCAAACTTAGCAATGTGAGCCCAGGCAAGTGTGTTAATGGGAGGCCCCAGCACTGGGTGGGAGAGGGCGTTCAGCACTGTGGACTCTGCCCACAGCAACCTATGTACATCAGGGCCCAGCAGCTGGGAAGAGGCCTGGCAGAGTGGTTCTGTCCTAGAAAGCTGGGGCTCCACGCAGATCAGCAAGGTCAGCCCAGCACAGGGAAATGGCACAGGAAATTTTCCCTGGGGGGGGTGTGTGGAGCGGCAGTCTAGTCCTTGGGTTATTGGCCGTGAAAGCTTGGGTTCTCGGGGCGCAAGTTCAGAGTTAGCCCTTGAGGATGTGAATGAGGACGCCTCTGGTGCAGTGACTTCAGTAGCAAAACCACAGTCTGTTAGTGACAGCTCTAGGTGTAGGGCCCAATTCATGTGAGTCCCTCGGTCCAGGAGTAAAGGTTTTGGTCTAACTCACCATGGTTTTCATTGAGTCTCCACTGAGCCCCTTAGTTTCTGTGGGGGTGCCCTAAGGGCAGTTATGGATTATGCTCTAGGAATGAGTAGTTAAGGATGAAGAATTTTATGAGAGCACATATGCACCTGTCTTAGTTACTTTTCTCACTGCTAGGAGAAAATACCCAACTCCTACAAGTTACAGGAGGAGAGTTTCATTTTGGATCATAGTTGTAGAGGTTTCAGTCCATAGCTGGCCATCTCCATGGCAGGGTGTCGTGGCAGGGGAGAAACAACCCATAGCATGGCTGCAGGAAGGAGTAGGAAGTATATATACCTTCAGGTCACACTCGCAGTGACTCACCTCTTCCTACAGGGTTCACCTCTCAACATCATACCCAGCTATAAACTCATTAGCAGATTATAATGCCCCCCCAAAATTCATGGAAGTTATGTTTCTAGAGCACCCATGAGTTGTAAAAAACCACAAATTTCAGATGTGGTTGGAAAAGTGCTTGTAAATGCCTTTTTCATACTATAAACCCTAAATATGCTATATTTTCTAAAGTTATGTAATTTAATCAAATACTTCAGTAATAAAGCCTTAGAAAATGCAGGGCATTTTGGCAGCATCTTAGGCATTAAAGAAGAATAAAATGGAAAACACTTGAGATCGCTGCATGCAGTATAGCAACCTGTGATGATGTGGGGATGCTGGTTCATCAGCTGGAGACGAGTTGCTGGGCAGTAGCCAATCAGCAGCAAGGAGAGCTGAGTAATGCTTTTGGATTGGCTGCTTGTAAACCTCCTTCCTAAAAAACAGCTTGGAAGTTACTTGTGCTTTATAGGAAACTGCAGGGGTTTCTATGAACAATTGTTAGTTAGTTCTGAGGGAAAAAATCCACAAATGACTGAGGCCAGGAACTCTGAATCTCGACTTTGTGGAACTATACTGTAATCCAGTGTCACACACCCGTGATCCAGTTATCACATCCATGATCCAAGTCAACTCCTATATTAGTTAGTGCTTACTAGAGAAACAGAATACAAGATATACAAATACAGAAAAATTTTTTTACAAGGTTGGCTTATAGTGAGACAGGTATGAAAGAATACCAAAGTTCTGTCTTTACATTGGGAATTTGAAGGATCCAATCAAAGGCCTGTGTAGTGTCCCAAATCCATATGAGGAGGCTGAAAGGTCAACACTGGAAGCAGAAGGGTCTACACTGGAAGCCAGGAGATGATGTCCAAGGTGAAAGCAAAGACCAGAGCTCCTCCAAAGAAAACAGAAGCAATCTCCTTCTTTCTTTGTTTCCCTTTTTATACTATCTTGGCTGTCATCCTTCCAAGGATGGGCCTTCCACACACAGAACTGAGCCAATTTAATTTGATGTTTCTTACTCAAATTGACACAGCTGACCATCATACCTCCCAAACGCCCCACCTATGAGAGCATGAGGCTCTGGGGAACATTAGATATACACCATAACGTTATCTTTCTGTTTAATCCTGGGGAGTTCTTATATAAGATTCTGATCAAAAAATCTACCACTAAAAAAAAGTTTGATGATCAGCAATTTGACAATGACCATTCCAATTTCCTCTGTGGAGATCAGGGAGCAGAGAAAATAAATGCTTGAAATTCAGAAGCATGACAATGGCACCAAAAGCCATCAGAACAGGGCAAATTTTCCACAGAGGGTGGCAATACAGGAAATGGGAAATGTTTCTTCAGTGAGGGATTTCGTGAAGAGCTCTGGCATTTAGATACTCGGGAAGTCAGTGTGGTGGCGCTTCTTTGTGATGTACCCTTGGGAAATCAATATCATGTACTGTGCCTCTTCAAGGCCCACTTTATGGATTCTGAAGTCTGGAGGACAAAAGAAAGAAGCAGAACCTCATATAAGTTAGCTCAGATAATAGGAGCATGTTACATTTTTAGAATCCAAGGACAGAAAATTTAGGGCTCCTTAGTGCAGTCAGAAATTCAGGAGCAAAAAGGCATTTGTTCTTTGTCTTGCAAGAGCTTTTGTGGCTCAGGGGCTTCATCATTCCCTCCCTTCTCTCTGCTTCCCTCCTCTCCCCTCTGTCTCCTACTTACCTCCACCACAAGCGCTGGACAGGCCAATGACTTGCATTGCTGTCAGACTCCATGCTCGGTGGGCCTTGGGTCAGATTTTCAAGAGACAGACTCAACAGACTCAGCGGAGTCTACAGAATGGTCCTCCATGAGGCAGATGTCAGCCACATTCAATGAGGCAGACTCATAGGAAAGAGTGAGATGCCAAGGCCTTGGATGGGGCAGAGGTGGGCAGGCAACAGCTAGTATCACCACCGTGGGCTTCAATGCTAACAGTAGTGACACTGCGATTTGAGGGTTGCCCAGGCTGTCACAGGGAGCCACTCACTGCTGTGCACACGTGAGACTGCTGTGTGCACCTTTGCAATGTGGTGACCACATTCTGCCAACAATTCTAAGATCCCAGTGCTTTCCTGGGTATGCGGTCTCCTGGCTTCTGATGACAGGCATGCTATTCTGCCCAGTGCAGCTGGGGTTGACCACATTGGAAAAGGAGATTAGAGAACGCATTCATTTAGCCTTGCGTATAATGTAGCTTCCTCCTAGTGGGGCGTTAGGTTCCGGAGTGGGGCTCCCCTGTTCCCAATATAACTCTGCTAGCAATAACCACATGGCCTGAAGCAAACGGCTCAGTGTGTAAAGTCAGCTTTTCACCAGTACAACAAATACCTGAGGTAATCAACTTAGAAAGGTTTATTTTAGCCTAGAGTTTGAGAAGGTCGATCCCATTGCTTTTGAGACTGTGGCAAGGGAGAATGTTGTAAATTAAGTACATGGTAAAGCAAAACATTTACCTCACAGCTAGGGCACCAAAGAGTGTGACAAGGAGATAAAGTTCCCATAATCCCTTTCAAGGCCATACCCCGCAATGACCTAAAGACTTCCCGCCAGGCCCCATTTCTTAAAAGGTTCCATCTCTTCTCAGTAGCACCATCCTTGGGCTCTGTTTTTAACACATAGGTCTTTGGGGGCCATTCAAGATCCAAATTATAGCACTTAGATTTCCTAAGTCCTAGTTTGCTCATTTGTGAAAAGTGCAAAATAAGACTATCTGGTGAGAAATCAGACCTGCCTGGAGTACTGAGGAGTGTGCTCTGAGAGCAGATTTTGAGGCTTAGAAAGTACACATTAAATGAAAGTCACCCATGATTGTCATCATTTCTGTTCATTTCCTTTTCACGTCTTGTAGACCTAAATGAACTCAAGGCTCTGAGTTATGATTTTCTCACTTCCTCACAGACATTTGTGTGGACTGCTAATAAATGTGTTATTCAGTTGACTTACAATATGCTTTATGCTTCTAATTGAAGAAGCCTCACAAAGACAGAAAAAGATGCATAAGCATTAGGACCTGGACCTGTATTTGAGCAATTCGTGGCATATGAGAGCTCCTCTGCACACTGTCCTTGTGTGTGATTTGCTCTTGCTTTCTTCTTCCGAGTGAGGAAACAATAGATGGTGCCTTCAGCTTCTTTGATCCCTGCCAATACTACCTATCGTCTATCCCAAAGGACATGCCGCCTATTTCTGGAGACTACACAGACCAGAGAGCTGGAAACCTTCACAAGAGGCTTCATCTGTCTCATGGCTGTTCTTTTCTCGTGCAGGAGTTGAGCCACCCCTAGGACCATGAACTCCTCTGCTGAGCCCTGCAACATTTCAGACTGGTTGAGGCTGGAAGCAACCGTGAAGGCCTCTGTGTTTGTGGTCACTTCCTCCTTTGCCATGTCCATCACCGTCATCATCATCACCACGGTGTCACAGACTGTGAGGCTGCGGAGAGACACCCGGTACCTGCTCCTCTGCCATCACCTGCTGTGCATCTCCTCCTACTGTGCCCTGGGAGTTGTCTTCCAAGGAATGCGGGCTCTTGGGGCAAACAGCCCCCTGCTGATATGCTGGGTGGTGTTTGGAGCACAGCTCATTTTTGGTGAAGGGATTCTCTTCATTCTGGCCTTGATGGCTCTGAACACCTGCCTGGTGATTTGCTGGCCACTGAAATCTCTGTCCTTTGTAGGTTCAGTGAAGTATAGGATTCTGGCTGGGGTGTGGGCAGTCATTGTATTCAAGAATGTTTGCTTGTTCCTCATAGAGGGCATCGGCCCTCCCTCAGTTGCTGTTTTAAAATCCACACCCCTTTGCCCTGTGACCTTGAATGGCATACTTGCCAGGACCGTTGGCATGCTTTTCCTCTTCCTGCCTTTGTCTGTCATTGTTGTAAGTTACCTTCTGATATATAAAGAAGGGAAACGGGCTGGTCATTTTAACAAGTCGAACAGCAGAGCAAAGCGAACAGTCCTAATTCATCTCCTGCAGATAAGTTTACACGTTGTGCCCACCCTGCTGGTCATAGGTTTGGGAAAGAAGTGTGGAGTATTTTTCTTCTCTCTGAACCTCATCCTTTTTGGTGTCTTTTCATTTGCCCAGTGTTTTAACCCTCTGGTCTATGGGCTCCAGAACAAAGAGCTACGAGGCAGATTGCACCATTGGCTATGCTGTCGGGGGAGCTGCGGTCACTTGATGACTAGAAGAGGGTCTGTTTAGGCAAAAGTTCAGCCATGTGAACAAGCAGCTGCAGTCCTAATGGACACAACAGCTAAGGCCGAGGACCTGCCTTCCATTCAACCCCAGATGGGTGCCTTCATTTGATTCTAAAAGTATATGAGTGATTTGGTTGGTGTACAGTTTTTTTTTCTGTGCACCATGACTTGGCTTGAGATTATTTAGGTGTTCTGAATTCCTTTTTTTCTTCTTTTTTTAAAAGACAGGTTCTCACTCTGCAGTTCAAGCTGGCCTTCAACTCACTTTGTAGCCCAAGCTGGCCTCAAACTCACAGCACTTCTCCTGCCTCAGCCTCCCAAGTGCTAGGATTACAAGCATGCACCACCATTCCTAGTGGTGTATTGAATTCTTAACACAGAGAGCATTTTTGACAGCCTGCCCTGCTGGGTCTGAGTAGTTAGGCAGCTTTTGAGAAAGCACTTGTTGTTTAAAACTGAGAATTGTCCATGGTTAGTGTGAAGAGAAGCCTGGCCATCCCATTTATCCTAACTAGGGATGGTCTGGGCTGTTGATAGTAACAGAAACATCAGCCAAATAACAGCGACTTCAGAGTCAGAGGTTGAATTTTGCTTGTGTAACAGAAACCCGTACAACCCAGGTCTATGTGGCAACTCTGCAGTCAGCAGCTTCGATCTCTCTACCCTGAGTCCTGTTTTACCTCACGAAGCCTAAGAGCTGATAATGCTCTTATTACCACATCCATGTTTAGCCCATAGGATGGAAGAGAGGGCGAAGGTCTGAGCCCATCTTTGAAAGACACTTTGTGGGAATTACATATTTTTATTTTTTACATCTAACTGGCTAGAATGGAGACCCACAAGATTAGCTTTAAGGAAGAGTGGAATATATTTTAGTTGGATAGCACTGTCCTCAGCTAAAAATTGGAGTTCTTAATACTAAAAAAGGTGGTAGTGCATGCCTCTAATCCCAGAACTCAGGAGGCTAAGCCAGGACGATTGTCATGAAGCAAGTTTGAAGCAAGTCTGGGCTATATAGTGAGTTCAAAATCAGCCACAGCTGCATATGAGACCTTGTCTCAAAAGCAAAAATAAAAACAACAGCAATAACAATTACTAAGAGAAGAAGAAAGAATATATCTGAGAAGGCACAATTATTTCAAGGGCTATTTTCCTCCCAACCAAATAAAGTATAAATAAAAAATAATTTATGATCGTCACAAGCAAATGCTCCAAATATGTAGGTTACAGTCAGAGTTCACTGTTCAGGACCCTGGAAAGCTTATGTTATGTTAACAGCTCCCAAAGACAATGGCATCAGTGGGAAAATGTCAAGTTGATTCAAACATGGGAATTAATTCATAATTTAAATCTTAAAATAATTTAAATTTGAGGCAGCAGTGTGAAATAAACATTTACAGAAGTGTACATGCATATTTCTTTTAATGAAACCTCACTTCAGAATCACCCAGGGTTTGTTAGAAATGGGAGCCATTAACTCTAGGTATTTTAAGCAGAAGGATTCAATACAGGCATTGGATGCTTACCAAGGGTCTGGTGGGGCTGGAGGAGCAGAAATCAGAGCTACACCACCGATTCATGTCAAGGACAAACTAGGGTAGTGATCACACAGTGGCTGCCACCGGACCGTCATGTTTCTGTGAGTTTGCCTTCCAAAGGAGACTGCAAGAAGATGGCCTCCACATCCTTCCGTGCTCCACGTCACGTGATCATCTTTAACTGGGGGAACCTAATTGGTAACCTAAGAGCAAAGGAGGCTGGGAAATGTACTTCCCAAAGGGGAATGAAATGAGAACTGGTGAACCAACCCGTACACCCGCCATTACCACTTTTATTTCATTTACAGGGTATAGCAACAACAATAAGTCTTACCTGGAGCGACTATTACGCTCTTCACACCGTGCAAGCAGTTTTACACTATGTCAAGTCCTCACATCATTTCATGCAATAGGTACAGTTATTCTTGATACACAAATGAGAAAAACAGCCAAGCATGGTGATACATGACTGTAATCCCTGCACTTGGGAGCTGAGGCAGGAAGATTGCCATGAGTGTGGGTTACATAGCAAGAGCTTGTCTAAAATAAAACCAAAACCCACCAAACAAAACAACTCAAATGAGAAAAGCAGACTTAGAAAGTTCTTAAATGACTTTAGGTCTCTTTCTCTCTCTCTCTCTGCTGGGGACTGAACACAGGCCCGCAGGTATGCTGCAGAAATACTCTGTCCCTGAGCTGCATGTCCGGCCCAGGACCTCTGCTAACATCTACTTAGCCCAGGACGATGATTTTTCCCTGTAGAGAGAGCAATCATTTGGGAAATTCAGGTCTCAGTTCTCCACTTCGCTTGAAGTGGACGCTGGCGCTCAGCCCTGCGTTTTCTCCTCTCCACCCGCAGGCCCCCTTGCATTCACATGGAGGGGCTTCCGAGTCCATCTACACTCCACGTGGCTCTCAGTTCGTGCACCCTCTGGAGGTGTTCGGACTAAGTCTGCCTCGTTTCCTAATGGCGACTCTAAGGTAACCAAGCACCACCGTGGCTCTTCCGTGGTCCACATGTCTTTCCAGGACAGGCTCTAGGTCTTCCTGAAGCCAGGAGATAGAGGGGCAAGAGGCAGACTAGGGCGAGAACCTGAGTAAACACATTAAACTGAGTAACCGGAGGCCAGACCTGGGTGAGCTGAAGGTAAGCCTTGGGACACTAAAGCACCAAGGGCGAAGGGCAAGTCCCTAAATAAGCCAGGGTTACAGCTCAAGAAAGGGGAATCCAAAGGGCAAAGAAATAAGAAAATCTGCTTTCCAGCCACCAGGAGCCTACAACAGCCTCAGCTGCCCCTGCAGCCCTGCATCCTCGCCGGTGCCTTTGCAGCTGTCTTACGCGGTGTCTAGATTTCAATGGCTCGGTGATGTCCTCCTTTTAGACCCCTCTTCTTTCTAATAAACCACACCCGGTTCTCCCCCACTGCTGTCCTCCTCCTTCCACTGCCCTTGGGACAAAGGTCCAGAGGGAGAGAGCTGGATCCCTGAATACTTCTGGCACCAACACAGTGTCAGGCAGACCAAGGGCTCGGCTGATGAGACAGACCCATCTGTAAGTCGGTCCTTTCCACAAACTCCACTCCACTCAAGCCACGGGCCCTGTTTTGTTGAAATTCGGTGGTACCTTGGCTCACAAAACTACTTCGTTCCACGAGTCTGGGGAAGCTGGCTGCGGCTGTGTTCGTCACCTGATGTGGAGTTTGCCAGCGGAAGCAACATTTTATTAAAAGCTTCCATAACAGAAGCGATTGTGAATTGAGTATGACTACATTAAATATGAGACCAGAGTGTCTTTGTCCACCAGAAAGCAAACAGAAAAGTAAAACCATTCCCCAAAGTTTAGCTCAGTTATAAGTCCCACATCCAATACAAATTGTTCAATTTATATTTGTACTTTGTTTTTTGAGACTGGGTCTCACATGTCGTTCAGGCTTGTGTTGGGTTCACTACGTAGCCCAAACTGCCCTTGAACCATGGCAATCCTCCTGCCTCAGCTTCCCAAGTACTAGGATTACAGGTGTCTGTCACCACACCTGGCACCTTAAGCTTTAAAAACTTCATGTTGTAATATCAAAAGTAATTTCTGCTTATCACATTGATTAGTAAGTAGTAGCTTTATCCTTTCAGATGCAAATTATTATTATTGATTCTTTTTTAGTTGAGACCCTAGAGCATGAGATTCCAAAGGTTCACAACTGAATTTAGTAAAAAGGGAGCTTCCTTCCCACCAGTTTTTTGTGCATGTTCACAACAGATGTTCTACTAAGAGGAAACGATTGAGAATTTCTCATAAGAGAATTTGGTTTCAGTTTCCTGACTTCGGATTGCACACTTGTTTGTGGGATTTCAAATGTGTTTCTGTTGTCACTGGACAGGGCCTAAGGAAGCCCCGTAGGTGGGATTGGGGAGCTTGACTCGCCCTACACTAAAGGAGATTGGTTGACGCCACCACAGGAAATGAATTTTCAGGACAGGTCAGTAGGAGGTAGGAAGAGATTTATTTGGTAGAATTATAAAAGTATACAAGTGACAAAGTAGTGTGTCAGCCCTCCGAAGGGAGAGTGGCCGTGTGGCCTTCTGGGTGTATTAATGGAGATCAGGGGTCTCCCTAGATGAGTTCTTTCTTTCTTTCCTTCTTTTTGCTCTGTCTCTGTCTCTGTCTCTCTTTCTTTCTTGTTCATCTTTTTGAGACAGGGCTTCACTATACAGTTAGCTGGCCTTGAGCTCACCTTGTAGCCCAGACTGGTTTTGAACTTGAAATGATCCTCCTGCCTCAGCCTCTTGGATTACAGGTGTGAGCCACCATGCCTGATTTGAGATGGGTTTTCTAAAATATTCTTTGCCCATTTGCATGTGTGTGAAGCCGAGGTCCACGGTCCTCTAACAGTGCACTTCCTGAGGGTGGCAGTTGGCAGGAGAGAAGGCAGCTTGTGGGTGAAGAGCACAAGGCTTACAGGTGCACTGTCATGGGTATCCTTAGGGATTTTCTCTGGAAGGAGAAAAAAAGCTGGAACAACTTTTGTTTCTGAAGTTGCAGTTTTTCTTTAAAAACAATGTGAATATTGTAACCTTCCTTGTTTCTTTTCTATCTTTATTTCTTCTTCAGTGACATACATGACAGCCAGTGACATGATCAACAGCGAATTTCATTCTGTGTAAATCCTTTGACTCATGGAAGGGTTTATCTTGGGCAAAATGCAGAAGGGAAAGAGGGGGAGGAAGTTGTGGTTGAAGGTCACTGGCCTGAGTGAAGCGCTCTTGTAAAAATGTTCTTTTCCCATACAGAAATGGTGCAATGGGCCTGAGTGAAAAAGTCAGGGAGTGCGGGTGTCTGAAGCCAATGTTCAGAGAAGAGGGGACTTTGCAAATTGCCCTAAGAAAATAAATCACTTAAGGAAAAAATGCAAATCAGCTCAAAATTCCCAAGGTCTTATGAACTCTTCATTTGCCATAGTCACAGTCATGGCACTACTGCACAGCATTACCCCCGGCTTCTGTGTAGATATGCTGCACACACACGAGGACTGATGGAAGAACACACTTGGCAAAATCTTGAAAAGCAAGAATAGAAAAGTAGTTCATCATTGTCATCCAAAGAAGGACATTCTAGACCGAAAGCACAGCGACAGGCTGGGGAATGTTAAGTGTTTTCTTCCTTGCGGCTGCAGCTGCCTGTCCAATGGCCAAGCAAAGACACACACAATGGAGAGAACGCTGAGCATCTTCCAGGAGTGGGGGTGGAGGAAACCTGAGCATTTCTTGTGGACCAGGAGATTATGGCAAAGAGCAGGCCGTAATGGGGTGGGTGGGGTGGCTGGAAAAGATGTGTTCAAAAGGCCTCATACTAAAGGAGAGGACCCTCAGCCAAAAGTCTGGAGGTTACCCTAGCAGCAGAGGATGAAGATGGAGTGGATAGCACCTGGTCTGAGGCAAGGACCACTCAAGGACCCAGAGGGACCAAGATTATCAAGTGCTGAGGAAGAGAATCGTCTCTGGGAACCTGCCCTGTCTCAAGGGTCAGGTGGTCTTTCCTGCACCTTCCTCTTCCAACACGAGGGAGGCCCCGGCAATCTGTGAGTACAGGAAGCTGACTGGAAACCTTAATTTCTCTGTAATCTTAATGCCCTCCTGTAACATGGCATCGCCACACTCCATAAAACTTACCTGTAAGAGTCGAGGGTTAGGATGAAGACATCTTCTCAGGAGTGGGGCTGTTATTCTGCCTCTCCCATTTGCTAACATGAGATTATGTTCTGGAACCAAAGATGATCAAAGGACTCTTTGAAGAGTGACTGGACAAAATGTGACTTAAAACCATGGTGAGGTATTGCTTCACATCCATTAGGATGGCCACCATCAAACTCAGGACATAACAAGTGCTGGCAAAGTTAGAGAGAACTTGGAATACTTGGAATACTTGTTGGTAGATTTATATGTGGTACAACAACCAAGAAAATAGTGCAGAGTTCTGCAGAGAATTAAAAATGGAACTACGATATGACCTAGCAGTCCCACTTCTGGATGTGTATGTAAAATAACTGAGAGCAGGTTTTTTTTTTTTTTTTTTTTGACAGAGTCTCTCCAGATAGCTCAGGCTGGCCTTGAGCTTGAGATTCTTCTGCTTCAGCCTTCTGAGTGCTGAGACTACATGTATGGGCCACCACATCCAACTTGAGAGCAGGGTTCCGAAGGGATGCTTGCACTCCTGGACAGAAAGTGGAATCAACTCAAATATCCACCACAGATTAATGGATAGACAAAAATGTGGTGTAGACATACAATGGAAAATTATGCAAGCTTAAAGAGGGAAAAATTCGCCCACAGGCTACAACCTGCATAAAACTTAAGGACATTATGCTAAATGCAATG